CAAAGCCTGACCTGACCCGCAGGCAGCCTGCCTCGCGGTAACAAGTGCTGCACCCTCCGAAATACAGAACTTGTAAAGGATCCCGTCTCGGCCAAAATACAACCGATTTCCTTTGGGCCAGGGCAGGATGAAACTCCCGCTCACCCATTTTCCTCAGCTTTGAAGCGCCAACTGATTTCAGCGTGTTCAAAATTTGTAATTTTATAGTTAAAAACTAGATTTTTCTGCACCACCTTTTATTCAAAATCTCTACGCTAAAAAATAAACACCACTTTTCCTTCCTCCCTCCTTATTCAACGTTGGGACGAGCTGTCACAGATTACTTCGATCCAAACGGCTTAGAAAATCAGCACTGGGAAGCGGTGGTTTGAACCCCCGCGAGCTGACCGCTGCCTGGCAAACCCTGTGCGTCTGTATAGAAGGGTAGTCTTTCTCCGGCATAACATTTAGGATATGAGATCGCAAACCAAAGCCAAACAAAATGTTTACTTCCACAAAATGCCCTCCTGCGGTTTATAACCTCAGCCGGGGGATGCTTTCTGCTCAGCCCATAAGGCTGCGCTGCTCCACCCCGGTGCCTCCGCAGGCAAACGAGCCCTGGGCGGCTTCGGAGCGCGGTCGCTTCTGGAAGCGCCCCGGGAACGCAAGCGCGAGCCTTTCAGCTGCTGGCGCGCACGGACCGGCCGCAGCAGCCGGGCTGCCGGGAGTTCCTGGGATCGCGGGAATGACCTGCCTGGTTTTTTCTGACATGTTACGAGATGGAATATTTCATTTGGATTTTGTTAAAATGAAACAAGCGTCTACAGCCGCCTGGGGGAGAGCGTTGTTCGGCCACGGCCAAGCTGCCTCCCGCCATCGCCGTCCCCAGCCAGAGCACCGGGAGGGATCCCGCGCCCTCGGAGACGCCCTGTTAGGATCGGTTAATCACCATCCACCTCCTCGCGGTCCTGCCGTCGTCTGTCCTGCTTCACGGAGCAGAAAAGAGAGCAGCGGGGCTCGGATATCTGCAGAGATGTCAAGCGGTCGGTGCCACAACTGCGGCAAGCTCCGCGCTAGCATCCCGGCAGCCCCGAGCATCCCCGCCGCCCCGGCCCTGTGCGGCCAACCCCAGAGCGCACCTTCCCTTTGCGTTCTCGCCCGAGCCCCTCCAGAGGCTGTTTGGATCATGCACCGAGTGACGGATTAAATCAGATTATTCAATTAAGGCGGCAGTTATAAATTAAACATATCAGCCCGGCTTGGTAAATCTCGAGACGTGGCGTGCGGCAAGTCTCCGAGCCAACAAACTGCATCGGCGAGTGCAGAACGGGAGGCGCGTGGAGTCCGCAAAGCGGCAGTGAAACTAGCTGGGAATAAAATAAATAACAAAAATAGCCAGGAAGCGCTTGAAAGAAAAAGTCCCGTCTCTCAATTCCCCCTTCCCGAAAGAAAACACCAAAACCGGGGCAGAAGGGAAGAGGGGGAGGAGGGAACGGAGACTCTCCTGCTACCTTTTGGTCTGATGTCCCGAGGCTGCGGGGGTATCAAGCACATTCCCCATAATTCAATAAGAGAAACCTCCATAAAGGCAGCCACTTTAATGTGCAGAAACACCACCTGTGTCAGAAACAGGCACCGGCCATTAATCACAGCTTCCCAATTAGCCCGGCCTGCTGCCCCCAGGCACAGCCGCTCTCCGAAGGCAGAGGGTGTCTGCTGTGTGCGCGGGGCAGAGCTGGCTCTTCCCAGGCCTTCCAGACCTTCGTCTTTGTTAACGAGGCCGCTAGGGTCTGGTATCTGCGACAGCACACTGCTCGCCGTTTTGCCCTGACCTCAGCCCCGTCTCGCCTCGCTGTCCCGCTTTCAGGCACTAAACTGGGATGCACGGACGGTTCAAGGAATTATGAACAGGATCCAGAGCTTTGGATCGGCAAATCAACCCCAGCCCAGCTCGCTGGAGCCTTGATTTCCTTGCAGTCTTGTCGTGCCCAGCATGAAATAAACCACTGCTGAGTTTTGAGAGGCTGCCCCAAGCTGCACCCACTTGTGACACCGAGGGAAACCACCCCGCACGAACACCCGGGACCCCTCTTTTCCTTCCCCCGCAGGGGCATCGGTCGGGGCCGTGCGCTCTGTCGCGCGTGACGTTCCCCGGCCAGTGCCTGCGGCGAGGGACGGAGCATGGTGCTCCTCGGGAGGCAGAGCTGGGGCTGCCGGAGCTGCGGCTGCAGGCTCTCCGCAGCGCCGGGCTGATGCCCAGGCTCGGCTTTGCAGGGGTGCTGCTGCCGGAGCCGTGCTGGCAGAAGCAGAGCAAGGTTTGCAGCGAGAGAGAAGCGCGTTCACCAGGCTGACCGATGCACTCAGACATCCCCCCCTCTGCTCCACAGATGCCCAACGCCCTTGCGTCTCCAAGTGCCTAACTGATTAACCTAACGAAGTTATGCTCGGAGCGACTGTCTGCGCTCAGCTGAAATTCGTGGTTTCTGTTTGGGCCCGTGCGCCTAAAAGCTCATCTGGTTTTGCCCCCAGCTCCGTCCTCTGGTCTGACGAAAACCATCACCTTTTCCTCCAAACCTCGCTGCACACTTGTACGGCTCTGTCACAGCCACAAGAGGCCAGACTCCTCATTTATTCCCTGTGTTTATGCCATTTGTTTTTCTTAAGCCGTGAAAACTCAGAATTTGAAGAGCAGGAAAAACACCTGAAGAAAAAGGCCCCAGCAGCCTAGCTGGGGGTGAGGGCACGGGGCTGCAGCAGACCCAGACGAGGGAACCCGAGCTAACGAAGTACTGCAGGCTCGCGCTGTTTGCAGCGGACTCACGGATACAAACCACCCTGTCTTTCACCTGATCTATAGCACAGACGACTAACGCGGCTTCCCAGACAGAAACCAACCAAGCAGAGCCGTAAAGGCAACGTGCTTTAAAGCGCAGGCTCTTAAGGACCTGCCTCGTGCGGCGTTCCTCTCGGCAGCGGACAGAGCAGAAGATGGCGTCCCCTTGCACCTGTGAGGGCTCGCGGATCCAGCAGGGAACATCACAGGGACGCGCTGCTGCAAAGGGTTTTGCTTTAATGTTATCTGCAGTATTTACTGGCAGCACCACCAGAAAGGGGAGATGGAAAGAGCTCAGGAGGTGAATAACCCTTCCGTTAGCCATCACCCGTCCCATCCGCCCCAAGGCCTGGGTATCTTAGAATCATAGAATCACAGAGTCACAGAATCGCTTAGGTTGGAAAAGACCCTCAAGATCATCGAGTCCAACCGTTAACCCA